CACTGCTGGGCAATCGCCACAGTCGCTTTGGAGATTTTTTATCGCTTAGCAAATTTATTCTTCGGTTTTTTGACTACGTTTATTTGGTGTGCGTCGCTTTCTCTTTTGTCGTGGACACGGCTTTTGTGATTTTTAAGTCCTATTCAGGCATTAGGTAACGGGGTATTTAGAAATAACACATATTGCTACGTGTTTCTTAGGGTGTTGCTACTTGTTAGTTGCAACACTGAGCCCTACGTTTATCTCTATGATTCTACGGTGATTACAGTAACAATCTTCATGTTCATAAGTCTAAGTGTATTTCTTATAGTAGTGTTTCGTAGCTAATTTTTATCTAGATCATTGCGAACTGTGTTGTAGGTATCATTGATTACTGGCCATAGCAGTTCGCGTGTACGTGCGTGTACCTGCGTGTACGTGCGTGTACGTGCGTGTACCTGCGTGTACGTGCGTGTACCCGCGTCTACGTACGTGTACCCGCGTGTACGTGCGTGTACCTGCGTGTACGTGCGTGCACCGCAAGTTAAGATCACGTGACTCGCTGCCACACGTGGAAGAAAATATCAAACACGTGTGATATTTTCCACACGCAAGAAATCGCGGTGTTTGCACGCGCACACGCTGTATTTTGTGCTGCGCCATCAGCCACGCGTGGCCGATGGCGCAGCACAAAACACAGCGTGTGCGGCAGGCTTAATTTAAAAGCTTCCAATGAACATATTCCCGATGGCGAGCAATTTTTTTACCTATCACAAATATTATAGCATTTATAGGCAAGTACAAACGTGCAATGTTAAAATAATTCATTTTTCCCGATTTTATTTTTCCGCTTGAAATTTCGAGGGCAGGCACCTTTAAATAAAAAGTCCTCACGTGAATAACTTCTCGAATACAGATTACACTTTCGTAAAATAATGAGAAGGGAAAAAACAGTAGTTATCAGTGCTTATCAGGTGCTTATCATCCTCAGTAGTTATCAGGTGAATGGTTCACCAAAGGGTGAATGAAATTATTTTGAAGTGAATGAAACTTAATTACCAAAAACATAAGGCAATTTAGTCGCAGGTGAATGAAATTTTGTTATAAAGACACGAGGGTGCATGACACTGAAGCACTGGTTTAAATGAACTAAATAGTGCAAGCGAGCCAAGAACACGGCCGGGTATGTGGGGGTCGACTCGAAAGCCTAGTGCTACTTTGACCCTCACAGCACTCATTTGTTAGTAAGTTCACTATTCTTTTTTATTTATACTCTCACGTTATACCTATCATACACCTGCTGTATTGTAACTAAGTTATGTGCTAAATAAAGAATCTGAATCGGTGTAGCGTGATTGTCACTGCGTTATTGATTGGCCTGCTATATTTCTACTTGGAAAGATTTCCTCTGCGCGTGATGACAACCCGAGTCGGCTGCTGCTTGCTGTAGAATGCGAGTTTATAAAGACGGAAACGGTTGCATTTTTTACGGCACCTACAACTTAACAACTTCGATTTTGTTCCCCTGATGAACGACACTGCGGATCGCCACAGTCGCTTGGAGATTTATTATCGTAGCAAATTTATCGTCGTTTTTTGACTACGTTTATTTGGTTGCGTCTTTCTCTTTTCGTGCACACGGCTTTTGTGATTTTAAGCCTATTAGGATTAGGTAACGGGTAGAAATAAACACATATTGCACGTGTTTGCTAGGGTGTTGCTACTTGTTAGTTGCAACCACTGAGCTATATAATTACATTACATAAATCAATCATTCAGTTAATCTATTATAGGTATACAGTAACGGTTTTCTAGCAATTGGAACGTAGGTATCTTGAACTGCATAGCAGTTTCCTATATAAACACGATAGCAAATACACTGGCTGTTCTTATCAAAACACATCGCCAGGTGAATAATGAAGGTGAACGATTTTCATTAGAATTGCGCCTAGGAAGCATACACCTCTTGTGGCAGACGATCGCTCGCCCCACCAAAAAATACAAACACCAACATAATTATGTATCCGCTACGCGTTCGTTCTAACACTAGCATGATTAGCTATCGGTCCTTCTCGTTTCTCTGAAAGCGAATCGTAGTGAAAAGCTACAACAGCTGGGGATTTGCACATCAGCCTTATCAGAACTTTACACCGCAGAGTAAATAGCAAACGAACATCGTCGTGAGTTTCGCGTGAAAGTGTGAAACGCAAAATGGTAAGCTAAGTAAGTTCGGTAAGCTGGGTAAGTGTCGACCCGATCCACACGACGAAGCTGACAGCTGGTTTTAAGTATAAATCGAAGATCTGTCGTCGAGATTCCGCGCATGGGTAGAATCTGAACAGGCAATTTGTAATACGCACAAGTGCGCGGACATGCATCCTGTGATCCTGTCTATGATTAAAATCGCTACGCAGTTTGTAACACAACCGATAGAAAATGCGTTTCACTTCACACACACTACTGCATGGTGACAAATGGGGGTTTATCGCAGAACCCATAGAACAGGGGGTGTGGCATGTGTGTACTAGATTACAACCTGCTAACTCAAACAGCTTCTAATCGAAAATGTGGCATCTAGGACAAGATATATGATTATCTCACCACGACACCACAAACGAAAGTTGGCACTAACACGGCAGTTGCTCAGGCCGAGTCACATAGCAAAGCATAGCAAATATTACGTCCTTTATAAAAAGTTCAATATTGAGATATAGATAGAATAAGGCAATATGGAAGCAATAACCAGTTCACAGCAGTTCCCCTACATTAAAAATTACAACAGCTCCTATTCCAAGTGTAATGAATGTAGCTAAGAACTTGCATTGACAGTCACTGAGTCTGTCACAATGGTTCGTGGAAATCCTATTTCATTTGTGACTTTGCAAGTTTGCATACAATACTTAAAGCAAGATAAGTAAAGCAGATAAAATAGAATAGATTCTCGGGATAACAGCTGTGTAACCTTCTAATTTACATTCACGGAGCACAATGCCTCGTGATATGTGTCTCGATCACTACACTAGCTATGCCTGAGCTAGCTCCAAGAAACGGTATTGCTAGGGTTATAATACCCTGTATATTGACGTTGGTCACACAGCCTGGTCGGTTTATGCCTGAGCTAGCTACTAACCATGATATCTGTACCGAGTGATAATCATAACTTTACAACTCGTCAGCCAGGTCTGAACAGCTTTACTAGGTAACTAGGTAACACATAAACGAACAGGTTTGTCTCTGCATAGTTCGAACATATAAACAGCGCTGACAATATCAATGATTACCTATGCCCAGCTATGTTAACATTTTATTGAGGCAAACGAGGGCATAATATGTACTTACACATGGACACGCATAAATACTATCAGCAGTAAATGTATAGATAGCAGGCCCGTAGCCAGGGGGGGTTCGGGGGGTTCGAACGAACTCCCCCCCCTCCCAGTTACTTCTTTTCATTTTCACAGTGAATTAATGTGGGGATTAAGCCTTCTATATAATACTGGCACTTATGCAGTATATGGCATTGTAAATGGCTTTTGTCCAAGCAGTAGGTGAATTGACCTAATTTTACTTGCTCATGTGGGCTCTTTTGTGCATAAGCTATAGCACGAGCAGTATGCAGGAAAACAGTAATCTCCATGTTTATTAATTATCATAAATAAATAAATGTATATATATGTCTGGTTGGGTTTCTGCACTAGTATTCTGTATATATATATATGTAAATGGAATGGATGGTTACATTTAGGCTGTAGTGTACCATCATGCCGTGCAGTGTAAAAACGAAAGCCGGTGTTTGGTAATTGTCTGTCATGTTGTAGGCTGACATTATTATCACTCCAGCAAGAATTACGTTACTCTTGAGTGATTACCGCGTATCCGACGACGTCAAACGTTATTTCGTTTTTGTAATTGTCAAATTGTTGTGGAAATAGACTAGACCACAATTAGAATACACTACTTTTGGAATTTGTGACTGTCTACAGGCGCGTAGCCAGCTTTATTCAAGCCATTTAAAAAAAAAATTATTTGCTTGGGGGGGCTCTTTTAATTGGAAGTTTGAAATCATAATGGACGATGTAACTTTTGTGTGCTCACAAACCATACAACTTGTAATTAAACTTTGCACTGGGATATTGGATAATGGTGCAAACTCTCCCTCCCTTTCTCTAGCTCTCTATCTCTCTATCTCTCTATCTCTCTATCTCTCTATCTCTCTATCTCTATCTCTATCTCTATCTCTATCTCTATCTCTATCTCTATCTCTATCTCTATCTCTATCTCTATCTCTATCTCTATCTCTATCTCTATCTCTATCTCTCTCTATCTCTCTCTATCTCTCTCTATCTCTCTCTCTCTCTCTCTCTCTCTCTCTCTCTCTCTCTCTCTCTCTCTCTCTCTCTC